AAAGGCAACACGTAAGTGGGGGGGGGTGGTACGAGGATTGACAGCTGGACGAAAATTGAAAAGTTGTTTTCATTCCCATCTGCTGCCTAGCTTGAAACGTCCTTTGCGACAAACATCCGACTTGCTCGGTTTATCCTTAACTTCAACTTATTTGACACAGTCGACTTTGGTAGGTGTGCCACTGCACGTGCCACTTCGCCATCAGCAACTTATCGATCCTTCTTCGTAATTAACAGCGACCCCCACAGCTTAGTCACAGCTTAGTCTCGATGTTCATGTTCGACTTTCTATGACAGTTTTCCTCAACGAATTCAGGTACAGCCACCTCGTCCCAGGCGGTTTCTTCTCAGCACCGCAGCCCGGAACCTCATCCAACGTTGCAGACGGTTTAGGTTAAATATTATATCCCAGAGAGTCGTATCGTAGACTAGTGCAACGACAACAGTGATTTTTCCACAATATTTATGAGGTCGTTGGATGATAGGGTGATTCACTAAGTTCAGAGAAGTCCGTATCCGCCTTTGTAGCCAAAGTTATAGTTCTCTTGAGGAAAAAACGACTAAACTAAGTAGGTCTGCATGTCTCTTCACTGCTCCTGCTCACCTCTGATGTGTATTACGATATCTCAAAATTGTGATCTTCCTCGTTTCTTCAACTGGCACTATACATCAATCACATTCTAGCTGCGACAAACCAGGTTTGATGGGAACATGTCTGATGTTCTGGGTTCCAGCTTCTTCCTCTAAGTTACGTTGCAGCATAAGACTTAGAGAATATGATCCGGTGTCAATAATTGAAGCGCAATATATGTCGGCGGAATTGAAAATAAGTAATCCGTGGTAGTTGCCTCAGAACAATGCAATTACTGTTTATCATATCTTGTCCATTTGTCGGTTTATGGATAGCGGAAAATTTTGCAGGTACTCGAACATGCCCTTGTTCACTTCAAGTCATAGGTTCGGTCATGCATCCGAGGCGCTGTAGGCACTTACAGAACACGAATGTTCGTTTTAGGCGACTAGAAGCAAAGAGCAGTGAATTTGCTGACTAAATCCAGTATTAAAAATTTTAATATAACATTTGCTGGCGAAGTTAGAAAAAATTGCGGTAGCTACTCCAGAACATCGTGGTTATGACCTACCTCATTTTGTCCGTAAGTTGTCTTTGTTTAGCCCCTCAGTTGGATTTTTCATTTGTAGGTCATGCATTATGAGTATTTAGACAATCGGTTACTTCAACGCAAACTCCACCCTTAAAGTTGCCGCACCTCACAGTATGGCCATAATTCCTTAACTCTCCTGTATGATCACTCCACAAAACCATGCTGTTTGTATTGTTCGCAGGATTGAGATACATGCTACTCGTTTATCGACTTTCTGTACTTAAATACAGTACGATGCGTTCACTCATTAAAATCGTCCACGAATTATGACGTACGAC